CCATTGCACTCCAGCCTGGGTAACAAGAGCGAAACTCCGTCTCCAAAAAAAACAAAAAAAAAAAAAAAAAAGAAAGGCCAATGCCTTCAACCCTTGCCATCTTTCCAATCACCCTCATTGCCTAAGTTCTCCCCTTTGCCTCCTGCGATTTGACCTCAACTGCCCAGGAATACATGGCCAAGAAACTAAAATCTGTTGAGCATCTGGATGGGTGTGGTGGCTCATGCCTACAATCCCTGCACTTTGGAAGGCCAAGGCGGGTGATCACCTGAGGTCAGGGGTTCGAGACCAGCTTGGCCAACATGGTGAAACCCCGTCTCTACTAAAAATACAAAAATTAGTCAGACATGGTGGCGTATGCCTGTAATCCCAGCTACTAGGGAGGCTGACGCATGAAAATTGCTTGAACCTGGGAGGCGGAGGTTGCAGTAAGCCAAGATTGCACCACTGCCTGCGCTCCAGCCTGGGCAACAGAGTGAGACTCTGTTTCCAAAAAAAAAAAAAAAATTGTTGAGCATCTGTATATGCTTACTAGCTTCACTTAGTGTCATTTAATCCTCACAGAAATGGCTTTTAAGTCCTCCATTCAGCATTTCACAGGTATATACATGTAAAATCTCAAGCTACATACTTTAAGATTTGCATGCTTGGCTACATTTAAGTTATACCTTACTAAGGCTGCTCTCTTCTTTCCCTCTAAATGTACCTGCTTCCACAATGTTAGCCTTCAACCTAGTTAATCTGCCTCCAAACAGCCTCCTTAAAGTCTCACCTTTTGCTGCTTCAAACCTTATATTTTCTCTAGCCTCAGTCTCTTTTCAGAGCTCTTGGCCTAACTTGCCTACCGAAGCCTGAAATTTAACAGAACCAGAATCAAATGTAGCCATTTCTCCACTCTGTGCCAAGCTCCTCCTTTTGCTGACTCCTATATGAATGGCATCACCATTCGAATCTCAGGTTGGCCTTCTCAAAGTTCATTTCCCCTCATCAATTAATCATCTATACCTCAATAATGTGATTCTCAAAACTCATCCCTTTCCATTTCTATGGCTACCACTGTAATCCAAAATCCTAAGTTATAACCACACTGTACAACTGCCTAACTTTTACCCCTACCTCCAGTGTCTCCAGTTTCCAATATTCACTGTCTTTCCCGTTCATTGCTCTACCCTCAGTGCCTGGCACGTTTGTTATACAGGAGGTGTTTGATAAAGTTTTGTAGCATGAAAACTATCACAGCACTTATCTCACCCTCATAGAAAATTGTGAACCTATGTTCCTTCCTCTGCTCCCTCCCATGACATGAAGATCAGAGACCATTTTACTCATTTTGCAGCGAGGAGGAAAGCGTTAGCCCACACGGCCTACCAACTATACATTAAACATGTGCCATTTTAGTTTATTTCACATTTCTACTTCTTAAAAACTGGGCAGGGGGTTTTTTGGTAGGGAATCAGCCTTTATAAAAGGTCTCACTAGTATTAGAACTTCACCAAAGCTGATTTTAATAACAATCCTTACATGGCTCTAGAAGAGAAGACATCTAAATTTCAAGCTAGTATTAATCTGATTTCTCTGATACTGCAATGTGAACTGGCTATACTAGAAATCACCCAGATCTAGAACCTGTTTTGTTTTTTGAGACGGAGTTTCACTCTCGTTGCCCAGGCTGGAGTGCAGTGGCATGATCTCAGCTCACCCCAACCTCCGCCTCCCAGCTTCAATTGATTCTCCTGCTGGGATGACAGGCATGTGCCACCACGCCCAACTAATTTTGTGCTTTTAGTAGAGACAAGGTTTCTCCATGTTTGTTAGGCTGGTCTCAAACTCCCAGCCTCAGGTGATCCACCTGCCTTGGCCTCCCAAAGTGCTGGGATTACAGATGTGAGCCACCGAGCCCAGCCACTGTTTTTTTTTCTTAAGACAGAGTCTTGCTCTCTTGCTCTGTTGCCCAGGCTGGTGTGCAGTGATGCAATCTCGGCTCACTGCAGTCTCCACCTCCTGGGTTCAAGTAATTCTCTGCCTCAACCTCCCAGGTAGCTGGGACTACAGGGGCCCACCACCACGCGTGGCTAACTTTTTTGTATTTTTAGTAAAGATGGGATTTCATCATCTTAGCCAGGCTCATCTTGAACTCCTGAACTTGGGATTCACCCTTTATTGAGTACCAAGCCCCAGCCTCCCATAGTGCTGGGATTACAAGCATGAGTCACCACGCCCGGCCAAGGACCTCTTTATCCAGCAGCTGGCTCTAGTATTACGGTGCTTCTAACACAAGCAGGATTTGTTCTACTCAGCTGTTTAACCAGAATGCCTCCAAATTTACAAAGCAAATATTTTAATGTCCAAGGCTAATATACCACTGCAAGGAAGAACAGGTACGGAAGGAAAGGAGCACTAAGAGAGGAAGACCCTAAGAGGGCTTGCCTACTGCATAGCACATCCTCAAGACTATCTCAGCGACCACTTTTAAACATCATTTCACGTGTTTTGGAAAGGTACAAATTTGATCTATCCCCACAGACAACCAGTCCCCTAAGCCTAGGGTGTCATAAAGAAAATTCTATATAAATGACTTCTAGCCTTCAGCTAATTTACCAGCTAGGGCACTCAAACATATTAATGAAGCTAATTTTCATGTCAGATGGTTTCCAGAGAATTGACGCAGTTCTCTCAGCATAGAAGAGGGCAACGAAACCATGAAAGCAATAAAGCACTTAATTTTCTGCTTCTTAAGGCAAAACATGAAACAAATACCTAATTTAAGTTCAAACTCATTTCCCTTTTATTAAAGTACAGGTTACCATTACATGGCTTCGTACTCAATAAAGGAATACTTGTTCAAATAAGGTAATATGTTATCATCAGTATTTCCAGGTGACTGTTTACACTCAAGTAGCAATATCAATAAATCCTTGGGAAGCCCATCTGTAAAAGAAAACACAAAGAATTAGCTGGGAAGGAATAAAAGGTAGAAATCTTGTTTTTCTTTCTTTCTTTTTTTTTTTTTTAAGATGGAGTCTTACTCTGTTACCCCAGCTGGAATACAGTGGCGCCATCTCCGCTCACTGCAACTTCCACCTCCCAGGTTCACGCGATTCTGCTGCCTGAGCCTCCTGAGTAGCTGGGATTACAGACATGCAGCACTACGCCCAGCTAACTTTTTGTATTTTTAGTAGAGATGGGGTTTTGCCATGTTGGCCAGGCTGGTGTTGAACTCCTGACCTCAAATGATCTGCCCACCTCAGCTTCCCAAAGTGCTGGGAATACAGGTGTGAACCACTGCGCCCAGCCAGAATCTTTTAACAATAACCGGCTGGGTGCAGTGGCTCATGCCTGTAATCCCTGCACTTTGGAAGGCTGAGGTGGGCGGATCATGAGGTCAGGAGATTGAGACCATCCTGGCCAATAAGGTGAAATCCCGTCTCTACTGAAAATACAAAAAATTAGCTGGGTGTAGCACTGCATGTCTCTAATACCAGCTACTCAGGAGGTAGGAGGATGAGGCAGGAGAATCGCTTAAACCTGGGAGGTGGAGGTTGCAGTGAGCTGAGATCACACCACTGCACTCAATCCTGGTGACAGAGTGAGACTCCGTCTCACAAAAAACAAAGAAACAAAAAAACGGTTAGAGCTACAAACAGGAAAATCACTGTCTCTCTGTACACTTTACTGCTCTTACTTAATCCTGCCTACTGTCAACCCACAGGGGACCAGCTTTGTGGCTTGTTGTTTATACCACTGGTACTTCCTTCCCGATCAGAAAAGTGTTCAGTAGTTGCCATTTCTTAAAAATACTTGTTTTGGGCCCAGCACAGTGGCTCATGCCTACAATCCTAGCACTTTGGGAGGCTGAGGCCAGGGGATTGCCTGAGGTCAGGAGTTCGAGACCACTGGGCAACACGGTGAAACTCTGTCTTCACTAAACTACAAAAAACTAGCCACGTGTGGTGGCGCACGCCTGCGGTCCCAGTTACTCGGGAGGTTGAGGCACCAGAATCACCTGAACCTGGGAGATGGAGGTTGCAGTGAGCCGAGATTGCTTCATTGCACTCCAGCTTGGGCAACAGAGCAAGGCTGTCTCTTAAAAAAAAAAAAAAATAAAAAAAAAAAAAAAAGGTTAGCTAGAATATATCCTACGTAACAAAAATCTTCTGAACACCTTGGAATAATACTTGATAAAATGAAAACTAAAACACATGGCCAGACGCGGTGGCTCACGCCTGTAATCCCAGCACTTTGAAAGGCCAAGGCAGGCGGATCACTTGAGGTCAGGAGTTAGTGACCAGCCTGGTCAACACGGTGAAACCTTGTTTCTACTAAAAATACAAAAATGAGGCGCCTGTAATCCCAGCTACTTGGGAAGCTGAGGCAGGAGAATTGTTTGAACTTGGGAGGCAGAGGTTGCAGTGAGCAGAGATTGTGCCACTGGACTCCAGCCTGGGCGACAGAGGAAGAAAACAACAACAACAACAAAATATGAATATGTTGGCCAGACTGGTCCCGAACTCCTAACCTCGTGATCCATCCACCTGGGCCTCCCAAAGTTCTGGGCTTATAGGCATGAGCCACTGTTCCTGGCCAAGTTCTGAGTCTTCTTTTAAAAAAGTGTTTCAATAGGTATTTACTAACAATATCCTAATCAGGGCCAGGCATGGTGGCTCACGCCTATAATCCCAGCACTTTGGGAGGCTGAGGTGGGCGGATCACAAGGTCAGGAGTTCGAGACCAGCCTGGCCAACACAGTGAAACCCCATCTCTACTAAAAATACAAAAAAAATTAGCTGAGCGTCATGGCATGTGCCTGTAATCCCAGCCACTCAGGAGCCTGAGGCAGGAGAATCACTTGAACCCAGGAGGCGGAGGTTATGGTGAGCCGAGATCACCACTGCGCTCCAGCCCAGGCAACAGTGCAAGACTCCGTCTCAAAACAAAACAACAACAAAAAAAAACCTAATCAGGCTCCCCTGTTCTTATAAGAAATCTGATATTTTTTTTTTTTTTTTTTTTTTTGAGATGGAGTCTCGCTCTGTCACATAGGCTACAGTGCAGTGGTGTGATCTTAGGTCACTGCAACCTCCGCTTCTCAGGTTCAAGCGATTCTCCTGCCTCAGCCTCCTGAGTAGTGGGGACCACAGGCCTGGCTAACTTTTGCATTTTTAGTAGAGATAGGGTTTCACTATGTTGACCAAGCTGATCTCAAACTCCTGACCTCAACTGATTTACCACCTCAGCTCCCAAAGTGCTGGGATTACAGGTGTGACCCACTGTGCCTGGCCCAAATAGAAATATTTTTAAAACACCAAAGCACAGGTGGCAAAAATAAAAGTACCTGAAAATCTGGATATGCATATACAGGCTCAGTATATCATCATCGATGCTACTGTTTATGCCTAAAATATATTTTTTTTAATTAAGGAGGCTTTTATTTGCCTTAATACCAGTAAGAAAATGGTGCCAGGGCCGGGCGAGGTGGCTTGTAATCCCAGCACTTTGGGAGGTCAAGGAGTGAGACCCACCTGACCAACATGGAGAAACACTGTCTCTACTAAAAATACAAAATCACCCAGGTGTGGTGGCATATGCCTGTAATCCCAGCTACTTAGGAGGCTGAGGCAGGACAACTGCTTGAACCCGGGAGGTGGAGGTTGCAGTGAGCCAAGATGGAGCCATTGCACTCCAGCCTGGGCAGCAAGAGCAAAACTTCATCTCAAAAAAAAAAAAAAAAAAAAAAAAAAAAAAAAAAAGATGCTGGGCGTGGTTCACGCCTGTAATCCTGGCATTTTGGGAGGCCGAGGTGGGCGGATCAGGAGGTCAGGGTTTTGAGACCAGCCTGGCTAACATGACGAGACCCTGTCTCTACTGAAAATACAAAAAGCTGGGTGTGGTGGCACGCACCTATAGTCCCAGCTACTCACTCGGGAGGCTGAGCAGGAGAATTGCTTGAACCCAGGAGACGTTGCCATTGCACTCCAGCCTGGGCAACAGAGCAAGATTCCATCTCAAAATAATAATAATAATAATAATAATAATAATAATAATAATGATGGCCGGAAATAATTTCAGTTCTTTAAATTTACCATTACTGGTATTCTCAAAATCTCTTCATGCTCATGGCCATTACGTCTAACAAGAACACTGAAAGGTCTTACTCTGGGCACACTGAAAGGTCATCCACCCACACCTCTCTGGATTGTTTTCCTATCTTCTTCAGTGACTTGTTGCTTACCCATCAGGTTTACACTTTGTCAAGGCCCAGTTCCTCTGGAGTGGAGATTCCCAGTTCATTTAAAGTTGGTCTAAGTTCCTGGATGACATATGGGTAGATTTCCTTATGAGGTCCTGCTTTGTCCTGATGGCAAAGAGAATATTCACATTTAACTCTCTCAAAAGCCATGTCTACTAATTCATGAAATGAACTTAAAAATGCTTTTAATTACATAAGCAGAGGCTAGTAGCACAGAATTAATAATACAGGTCATCGGCTGGGCGTGGTGGATCAGGCCTGTAATCTCAGCACTTTGGGAGGCAAAGAAAGGCAGGTCACTCGAGGTCAGGAGTTCAAGACCAGCCTGGCCAACACAGTGAAACCTTGTCTCTACCAAAAATACAAAAATCAGCCGAGTATGGTGGCATGCACCTGTAATCCCAGCTACTCGGGAGGCTGAGGCAGGAAAATCGGCTTGAACCCAGGAGGCAGAGGCTGCAGTGAGCTGAGATCGCGCCACTGCACTCCAGCCTGGGTGACAGAGCAAGACTCCGTCTCCAACACAAAAAAACCGGTCATCTACTTTTAAGTTAACACATTTGTTCAATAAAGAGAGCAACTTATATATGTACTGTTAAAGGTAGGTTTTTGAGATCCTTGAGAATAACTGCAACTGGACTAAATCCAGAAAAAAAATCTTAAAAGTCTAGAGTTACAGGAAAAGAAGGTAGTGATGACAGAATTTTGTGAAGGCAATTAGACATGCCCAGCAGGCAACATGAATAATTGAGTTAACACAGAAAAAGTATTTTCATTTGCCTCCAATTTGAGACCCTAACTGAATTAACCACCAGTGCTGAATGGATTGATAGCCTACAGAACCCTTAATCATCTTACCCATTATAGATAAAGTAACATTACACTTTCCCCCTTAACAGACCTTGAGTTTCTTTCTTACAGACCATAGTATCTTTTCATGGGGAGCTGTACTTTGAGAATACATATGTTCAGGGATGAAGAGTTTCTACCGTAATAGATAGATATACCAGTACTGTCACAAGGTTCCTCAAGAACGAATAAGAAGTCAAATCAACTAAGAGTGACACGCTGCTCCTCTTCTGCCTTCAAAAAACTCTAGGTCTCCTTAATTGTATTTTTAAAAATTAAGATTCTTGTTTAAAATGCAAAGTATTTATTCATTACCAAAAAAAAACCTCGACCAGGCACTGTGGCTCATGACTATAATTCCAGCACTTTGGGAGGTGGAGCACCTGAGGTCAGGAGTTCAAGACCAAAAAGGCCAACCTGGTGAAACCCCATCTCTATTGAAAAATACAAAAATTAGGTCAGGGCCGGTGACTCATGAGGTCAGGAGTTCGAGACCAGCATGGCCAAGATGGTGAAACCGTTTCTACCAAAAATACAAAAATTAGCCAGCATAGTGGCAGGCGCCTATAATCTCAGCTACTTCAGAGGCTGAAGGAGGAGAATCGCTTGAACCTGGGGGGTGGAGGTTGCAGTGAGCCAAGATTGCACCATTGCACTCCAGCCTAGGCAACGGAGCAAGACTGTCTCAAAGAACAAAAAAATTAGCTGGGCACGGTGGTGGGTATCTGTAATCCCAGCTACTCAAGATGCTGAGGCAGCAGAATCACTTGAAGCCAGGAGGTGGAGGTTGCAGTGAGCCAAGATCTCACAGTTGCACTCCAGCCTGAGTGACAGAGAGATTCCATGGCAAATAAATAAAGTCAGAAATGATAACCAAATGAGAGGGTGTAAAATTAGTATATATCCTCCTATGTTTTCATATAATGTATATTTTCCTTTACCTTTTTTTTTTTTTTTTTGAAACGGAGTTTCTCTCTTGTTGGCAAGGCTGGAATGTAATGGCATGATCTTGGCTCACCACAACTTCCGCCTCCTGGGTTCAAGCAATTCTCCTGCCTCAGCCTCCCGAGTAGCTGGGATTACAGGCATGTGCCACCACAGCTGGCTAATTTTGTATTTTCAGTAGGGACAAGGTTTCTCCATGTTGGTCAGGCTGGTCTTGAACTCCCAACCTCAGGTGATCCGCCTGCCTCGGCCTCCCAAAGTGCTGGGATTACAGGCATAAGCCAACACACCTGGCCCAATGGATATTTTTTAAAAAATAAAATGGAGTCATACCACAAAAACTGTTGTTTGTAACTTTCTCCAGTTAATATGATGCAAATATGTTAATGTCAAACACATTTCTACAGTATCAAAAGTTGTGTAGTATAACCAGTTCTAGGAAGTTCCCTCTTAAGAATTCCTAACATTTCGTATGACAAATAGCAAAAAGATGAATATACTTTGTAGTTAAATCTTTGTGTACCCTTAATTATTTCCTTAAGATAAATTCTTTTTTTTTTTTTTTTTTTGAGAACAAGTTTCTCTCTTGTTGCCCAGGCTGGAGTGCAATGGCGAGATCACAGCTCACTGCAACCTCTACCTCCTGGGTTCAAGTGATTCTCCTGCCTCAGCCTCCCAAGTAGTTGGGATTATACACCCGGGTGTGGTGGTGCATGCCTATAATAATTTTTATATTTTTAGTAAAGACAGGGTTTTGCCATGTTGGCCAGGCTTGTCTCGAACTCCTGACCTGAGGTGATCCATGCGCCTCAGCCCCGCAAAGTGCTAGTATTACAGGCGTGAGCCACCACACCTGGCCAAGATAAATTCTTAGAAAAAAAGAGAGAGAGAAAGAGAAAGAAAAGAAAAAAAAAGATAAATTCTTAAATGGAATTGCTGAACAAAAGTGTATCATGTATAATTTGTAAGGCCTTGAATAAACGCTGCCAAAGCAGCCTCTACACAGATTTTAACTGCAATGTACATTCCTTCTAGTTATATAAGGAATCATTTTAGGCATTTTAACAAATTCAGAAATACAGAATATGCTGATACCTGAGCAACAGCCCACTCATTTACAGAACAATGTTAGCACTACTATTTCACTGACCTTAACAGCCTCTAGGATGCGAACTGTACTAGCAAAATCATTTAACCGTCTGCATGCCCGCAAAGCAGCATCAATGATTTTGGGCTCTGGAACCAGATCATAGGTAACAAGTGTGTTTATCCCTGCAAAATTAAGAAGAAGGGCCATGTCAACCTGGAATAGCCTTACTTAAACTATGACTTACTTATATTTTTACTGAGTCACTGATGTATGATCTTATCTGTCTGTGTCTCCATGCTCTATCTATAAAATGAAAGAATCTACATTTAACAAATTCTAAATAATAAGATCACAGTGGATCTCCCTAAGTTAATTAGTGGAAAGAAAGAACTATGCATTAACATGCAGGCTGAAGAAAAAAAACCCTGAGATTTTTTTTCTTTCTTTGAGTCAGAGTTTTGCTCTTGTTCCCCAGGCTGGAGTGCAATGACGTGATCTCAGGTCACCACAACCTCTGGCTCCTGGGTTCAAGCAATTCTCCTGCCTCAGCCTCCCGAGTAGCTGGGATTACAGGCGTGCGCCACGACGCCCCGCTAACTTTGTATTTTTAGTAGAGATGGAGTTTCTCCATGTTGGTCAGGCTGTTCTAAAACTCCCAACCTCAGGTGATCTGCCCACCATGGGATTATAGGCATGAGCCACCACTCCTGGCCAGAAAAAACCCTAAGAGTTTTCTTAAATGCAAACACTATTTTCATAATTATTAGCTGGTTTCTTTTCAAACGAGAGGGTTATTTTCAACTCCTAACTTTTTTTTTTTTTTTTGGAGATGGAGTCTTGCTCTGTGGCCCAGGCTGGAGTGCAGTGGCAACACCTCAGCTCACTGAAAGCCCTGCCACCTGGGTTCCTGCCTCAGCCTTCTGAGTAGCTGGGATTACAGGCAGGTGTCACCATACCCAGGTAATTTTGTATTTTTAGTAGAGACAGGGTTTCGGCATTCTGGCCAGGCTGGTCTCGAACTCCTGACCTCATGATCCACCTGTCTCGGCCTCCCAAAATACTGGGATTACAGGTGTCAGCCACTGTGTCTGATCGTCCTATCTTTAACTCTTAGTACAATGTACGTACTTTGGATGCTTTAACAGAGTAAAGGCCTGACGAGGTGGCTCACTCCTGTAATCCCAGCACTTTGGGAGGCCAAGGCAGGCAGATCATCTGAGGTCAGGAGTTTGAGACCAGCTGGCCAATATGGTAAAACCCAACTGTACTAAAAATACAAAACTAGCCAGGCGTGGTGGCGCATGCCTGTAATCCCAGCTTCTCGGGAGGCTGAGGCAGGAGAATCACTTGAACCCGGAAGGTGGAGGGTGCATTAAGCCCAGATCACGCCATTGTACTCCTGCCTGGGCAACAAGAGAAAAGTTTTGCTTTTTAAAAAAAAAAAAAAAAAAAAAAGAGAGAGATTCAACTGTAAAATAGTCTAAAAACCAGAGAAATGGGTAAGGAGAGTTAATGAAGCCAAAATGAGGACATTAAGGAGATATTATAGAGAAACAGTACATAGACTCATAAACATTCAACCAGAAAATGATCGGGCATGATTACTTTCAGATCTGCACAAAATGACACCTCATAAAATTTAAGATTCTCTTAATGGGAACACAGAATTGCTGTTCTTTTTTATTACTTCTAGTCCAGATTGTTCACTAAGAATTCTTCTGCTTGTAGCAAAAGGGAATCATTACATTTCTGCAGGGAAGTTTAAAGCACTTAGGTTTCCTGCTTTTATTATTTTAAAATATTTAAACAAAGGACACCAGTGAATATGATGCAGTCATAGAGACTGAATTTTTGGTCCGACATAAATTAGCCTACACTTAATGCTACATATTCATGTTAAATGTGCATCTGCAAATTTAGGAAAGACAAGTTCTAACTTACTTATTCAGGTCAAAACAATGCAAAAATAACAAAAAACCCAAACCATCACCCAAAGGGGAAGGAAAACAAATGGCTGCTTTGTGTAAATTCTTTGAAATGTATAAAACTGTTACCTTTTGCTTATCTAGTCTTATTGCTATAGCAGTGGTTTTCAATAATTAAGGGTGATTTCACCCCTCAGGAGATACTGTGTAACATCTAGAGACATTTTTGGTTGTCACATGGTAGGGGTGTATGCGTACTGGCTTCTGGCAGGTAGAAGCTAAAGGTGATGCTAAACATCCTACAGTATGAAGGACAGTCCCCTACAACAAAGAATTATCTGGCCCAAAATGTCAATAGTGCCTGCCTTAAAAATCCTGCTTTATAGATAGCTATAAACTTTCCTAACTGCAAGCTGCATGATGGTAACCAGTTTAAAAAATACATGTTTTCAAAACAGTTGCTCTCAACAAAGGGGCAGAAGCAGTTCACATTTACACACCAAAATAGACAAGTATGTCTATGTTCCAATTACCTTTACGCAATTCCCAGGCATCTATATCTGGCTTGTTGAAGTATGTTACCCAGCGAGCATCAAACTCCTCATCTGTCTCACTTGACCCATGGGAATAGCAGCGAACTGACTGGATAGCTACAATGTGAAAGAACCATAACTTCAATGTACACAAATAGTACTTGATATATCTTGTTTAATGCATTAAATTTTGAATCAACTATATATGTTGCGGCAGAAAAAAAAATTCAACAGGTCAAATGAAATACATCTTATACATTAATAAAGAATCTTTAAAATTGGGCTGGGTGCGGTGGCTCACGCCTGTAATCCCAGCACTTTGGGAGGCCGAGGCAGGCAGATCACGAGGTCAAGAGATTGAGACCATCCTGGCCAAAGAGGTGAAACCCATCTCTACTAAAAATACAAAAAATTAGCCAGGTGTGGTGGCACATGCCTGTAGTCCCAGCTACTCAGGAGGCTGAGTCAGGAGAATCCCTTGAACCCAGGAGGCGTAGGTTGCAGTGAGCCGGGACTGTGCCACTACACTCCAGCCTGAGGGACAGAGTGAGACTCGGTCTCAAAAAAAAAATAAATAAAATCAAGTAGAACGAAAAGTATTACACAGGCATGTTTATACCTTCCCCCTAATGTATAATACTAGCTTGAAATTATTTACAGTGGTTCCCTCTTGTATGTATGTATTTATTTATTTATTGAGACAAAGTCTCACACTGTCGCTTATACTGGAGCACGATCTCGGCTCACTACAAACTTCGACTCCCAGGTTCAAGCGATTCTCCCGTCTCAGCCTCCTGAGTAGCTGGGACTACAGGCGCCTGCAACCACGCCCAGCTAATTTTTGTGCTGTTAGTAGAGACGGGGTTTCATCATATTGGCCAGGCTGGTCTCGAACTCCTGAGCTTGAGATCCACCTGCCTCGGCCTCCCAAAGTGCTGGGATTACAGGCATGAGCTACCTCGACTGACCAACCCCCTCTTGTTTATTTTAAATTAACAGTGATTATCAGCAGAAGGTTAAAAACTACTTTATATACATCCATATTGTTTGATTTTTTACACTTAACCAGAGTATTAATTCCTAAACAAACATGTCCCAGTTGGGCACACACCTGTAGTCCCAGCTACTCAGAGCCTGGGCCCAGGAGTTCAAGGTTGTAGGGTACTACAATATGACAGCACCTGAGATAATAGCCATTGCATTCCAGCCTGGGCAACACAGCGACACCCCACCTCTAAAAACTAATAATAATACTAACTAACGTCTGTTCAAGTTCTCCTTTTTGAGACAGGGTCTCACTGTTGTTGCCCAAACTGGAGTGCAATAGCTCGATCACAGCTCACTGCAGCCTCAAACTCTTTGGGCTCAAGCATTCCTCTCACCCTTGCCTCCCAAAGTGCAGAGATTACAGGTGTGAGTCACCAGCCCTGGTCCCGTTCAAGCTCTTAAACTTATATACTTTATTGATGCATTAAAAAAAAACAACTCATGTTGTTACATTCCAAAATAAATTACAATCCTGACAAATTACACAAATTGCTTTATCAAACTACACTCCCTTTCCAGAAGATTCTAATATATCCCCTAAGAGAATGTACACTGTAATCTACACCCAACGCAAAATATTGTTTTATAAGGTATCTAAGAAATGACATTTTGGGCTGGGGGCGGTGGCTCACACCTGTAATCCCAGCACTTTGGGAGGCTGAGACTGGTGGAGGTCAGGAGTTTGTGACCAGCCTGACCAACATGGTGAAACCCTGTCTCTACTAAAAATACAAAAATTAGCTGGGCGTGACGGCAGGCACCTGTAATCCCAGCTACTCGGGAGACTGAGGCAGAAGAATCACTTGAACCCAAGAAGCAGAGGTTGAGGTGAGCTGAGATCACACCACTGTACTCCAGCCTGGGCAACACACCAAGATGCCATCTCAAAGAAAAAAAATGATATTTTAAATGTAACATTGTTAATAAAACAGGATACACAATTATTTTCATGCCATTTCTTGCCTTCAGCATTCTGAAGGCTAGTAGAACCTCCTAATCAATACATCCTTTACAGTACTGTATGAAAAGCATTTCCGTTTTTTCTTTAGATAAAGTCTCACTCTGTCGCCCAGGCTGAAATGCAGTGGCACAATCTCAGCTCACTGCAACCTCCACCTTCTGGGTTCAAGCCATTCTCCTGCCTCAGCCTCCTGAGTAGCCGAGACTACAGGTGTGCACCACCACGACCAGCTAATTTTTGTATTTTCAGCAGGGATGGGGTTTCACCATGTTGCCCAAGTTGATCTCGAATTCCTGACCTCAAGTGATCCACCTGACCCAGCCTCCCAAAGTGTTGCGATTACAGGCGTGAGCCACTGCTCCCGGCCCCATTTTTCCTTTCTTCTTGACAAATGGACACTGAATTGAATTTGGAAATCTGGATTCCTTCTGAATACCCTCTGGAACAGGTAGAGGGATGGGGGAGACAGAAAATTTTATCTTTGGGTCTTAGATGCAGCACAGGCTAGCGCTCAGATACCTCTAGGCTCTTTGCTCTCTGTTTGACTCTGGGAAATTAAGTTTCATTTTCCTTATCTGTAAAATAGGGGACACTACCCTCCTTAGCAGATTATAAAGATTAAATGTGAAAACAGGTAGGTTAACACTGCACACTGGTACTAAACAAATGGTAGCTATAAACTAACTCTTATCTGAAAATGCCTTAGCTGATCTTCTAGTTATAAAAATCATAACTTAAAGAAATGAAAAATATCTCAAATCACATTTCCTACTATCTGTATTAGATAAGCTTGCTATAACTTCTAGTTGTTTAAGGCTCCTTAATATATTTTTACTTATTTACTCTTAGAGATGGGGTTTTGGTATGTTGTCCAGGCTGGTCTTGAACTCCTGGCCTCAAGCAATCCTACGGCTTCAGCCTCCCAGATTACTACGATTATAGGCGTGAGCCATAGCGCCAGGCCTTAACATACATACGTATATATTTTACATCTTCATCTAGAAACCTCTCAACATTGTTGAAATTTAAATGTTAGTAATATCCTATATATCTTTAATGCAGTAACTGGCAGGAGGAAGAGTAGGAAAAAACCAGAGACCTAAATTACCTACATAATCCAAGCCCAGAATGAAGTGGAACAGGTACATAAATGGTATAGATGTGGCCATGTTTTAATTTCTTTTTTTTGAGACAGAGTAAGTCTCGCCCTGTCGCTCAGGCTGGAGTACAATGGTATGAGATCTCAGATGACTGCAACTTCTGCCTCCTGGGTTCAAGTGATTCTCCTGCCTCAGTCTCCCGAGTAGCTGGGATTATAGGTGACTGCCACCACATGCGGCTAATTTTTTGTATCTTTAGTAGAGACAAGATTCCACCATGTTGGCCAGGCTGGTCTCAAACTCCTGACCTCATGATCTGCCCAATTTGGCCTCCCAAGGGATTACAGGTATGAGCCACCATGCCTGGCCTTAATTTCTTCAACAAGAAAAAATGGATCTCTACACCTAAATATATTTGATAAGTGAAAATCAAAACTACATGGATATTTAATAAGTCTTACAAGACTAATATTCGAATTTAATATATCAGAAAACAAGGCCAGGTGTGGTGGCTGACACCTGTAATTCCAGCACTTTGGGAGGCTGAGGTGGGCGGATCACTTGAAGCCAGGAGTTCAAGACCAGCCTCGCCAACACGGTGAAACCCTACCTCTACTAAAATACTGTACAAAAAATTAGCTGGGTGTGGTGGCGCAGGCCTGTAGCCCAGCTACTTTGGAGGCTGAAGGAGGAGAATCGCTTGAACCCAGGGAGGTTGCAGTGAGCCAAGATCACACCACTGCACTCCAGCCTGAGCAACAGAGCAAGACTCCGTCTCAAAAAAAAAAAAAAAAAAATACATACATATATATATATATATATATATATATATATATAAATACACACACACACACACACACACACACACACACGAAAACATAGATTAGACAACCTTCTAACACACTATTATCAAGAACTTAATTATCAAGAACTTAGGGCCAGGCACAGTGGCTCTAGCCTGGGCAACAGTGAGATCCTGTCTCAAAAAAAAATGTGTAAGTTATCTTTTTCTTTATTATTTTTTTCTTTTTTTTTTTCTGTAAGTTATCTTTTTCAAAAACTAAAGCTAGCCTTAACTGAATACTTCAAGTGCAAGTACAAAATGATACAATCACTTTGGAAGACTGTTTAAGCAGTTTCTCATCAAGTTAAACACAAACCTACCATGTAACACAGTAATTCCACTCCTAAGTATTTACCCAGTGAAAGGTCTATGTACTCCTTCCCCGGAGGTAATTACCTGTCCTATCCAGAACAGTGTTTCATGATAAGCAAATCCTTTTGTTCCCTGCTACGCATGGATTTGACTACATGAGTGCTAGGCTTTTTCCTAACTTCAAATAAGATGACCAGCAACAGCAAATCCAGGAGATCACCACCTTCAATGAGTTGATCACATGTCTTCTGGAAGCCAAATTACAAACTAGTTGTATTCCAAAAAGTCCTTTTTTTTTTTTTTTTAGGAGACCAGGGGAGAGCGCGAACACTGTCTTTTATAAAACAGGCCAGGTGTGGTGGCTCACGCCTGTAATCCTACAACTTTGGGAGGCCAAATCAGGATTGCTTGATGCTAGGACTGAGAGACCAGCTTGGGCAACAAAGACAGATCCCCATCTCTACAAAAAAAAAAAAAAAAAACTTAAAAAATCAGCGGGATGTGGTGTTCCCAGCTACTCAGGAGGCTGAGGTGGGAGGACCCCTTGAGCCCAGGGCAACAATGATGCAGTGCACTATGATTGCACCACTGCACTCCAGCCTAGGTTGGAGCAATACTCTGTGTATCAAACAAATCAAAATAAATAAAAATTTTAAAACCCACATGTCCCCCACTTTTTTTTTTTTAAAGACGGGGTTTCACCATGTTGGTCAGGCTGGTCATGAACTCCCGACCTCAGGTGATCGCCCACCTTGGCCTCCAAAGTGCTTGGATTACAGGTGTGAGCCACCACACCCAGCCTCCATATATCCCTTTCTGAAGGGCAAAAACAGACTCTCCCCACATGATTTAAATTATTCTGTTAAATCCAGTAATAGGTAGAGCAGGATCTATTCCATTAGCTATGGACATGTCCCCCACATGCTTAACATTTTTTTAGGTATACTATACAAGCATTCTCTGCCCCACACACCCCACCCCACTTAAGAACAGGATCTCCACCTAGTATTGAAGCTTGTAAGGCAAACTATTTTGGAAAACAATTACTCAGTGCTTTTACGTAACCTGAAGGTTCCAGAATAAGAAAAAAGCAGCAGCTATGAAAAATGAGGACATTTTTAGGGCTTCATTCTAAAAAGCTACTTCTAACACTGCTTTCTGGCATTCAGTTAAGCACTCTTTAAAAACAAAAAGGCTAACACATATAGAAAAACTAAAGGGCTCATTAATCCCTTGGGTTTAAATTTTGTTAAATAGGATAGTTTTCCATTTAATAATCAGCCCTAACAGGCCCAAAGAATAAACACTTTGGTGGTGGTAACTCCGGGAATGAGGGCACAATAATGAGTTATTGGGGCCAGGCGCAGTGGCTCTTGCTTGTAATCCCAGCACTTTGGGAGGCTGAGGTGGAAGGATGGCTTGAGCCCAGGAGGTCGAGGCTGCAGTGAGCTGTGCCACTGTACTGCAGCCTGTGTGACAGACCTTGTCTCAAAAAAAAAAACAAAAGACCCTGTCTCAAAAAAAAAAAAAAACAGCTCACGCCTGTAATCCCAGCACTTTGGGAGGCAGAGGTGGTTGGATCACGAGATCATGAGGTCAAGAGATGGAGACCATCCTGGCCAACATGGTGAAACTCCATCTCTACTAAAAATACAAAAATTAGCTGGGTGTGGTGGCACGCGCCTGTAGTCCCAGCTCTTCAGGAGGCTGACGCAGGAGAATTGCCTGAACCCAGGAAATGGAGATTGCAGTGAGCCGAGATCATGCCGTGCCACTGCACACCAGCCTGGAGACAGAGCGAGACTCCATCTCAAAAAAACAAAAACAAAAATAAACAACAACAGAAGAAAAAGAAAAATTTGTCTGGGCATGGTGCCTCACCACTGTAATCCCAGCACTTTGGGAAGCTGGAGGAGGGAGACAGGAGGCAGCTAGGTACTCCTGAGCCCAGGAGTTCCCAGATCAGCCTGGGCAACATAGGGAGATACTGTTTCTACCAAAAAAAAAAAAAAAAAAAAATGGTGATGCATCCTTGTGATCCTAGCTATTTGGGAGGCAGAGGCAGGGATCAGTTGAGTCCCAGAGGTCAAGGCTGCAGTGAGCTCTGATGGTGCAACCATACTCCAGCTTAGGCAGCACAGCAAGACTAGCTCAAAAAGAAAATAAAAGAACAGAACAGAACAGAAAAGAGGAAAGGAAAGGAAAAGAGAGGAAAGAAGGAAGGAAGAGAGGGAGGGAGGAGGGAGGGCTGGGCACGGTGGTTCACATCTGTAATCCCAGCACTTTCACAAGGTCAGGAGTTTGAGACCAGCCTGACCAACATGGTGAAACCCTGTCTCAACTAAAAATGCAAAAATCGGCAGGGCATGGTGGCGCGCTTGTAATCCCAGCTACTCAGGAGGCTGAGGTAGAAGAAAAAATCGCTTGAACCTGAGAGGCGGAGGTTGCAGTGGGCCGAGATCATGCCATTGCACTCCAGCCCAGGCAACAGTTCGAGACTCCATCAAAAAAAAAAAAAAAAAAAAAGAAGGAAAGAAAGCAAAGAAAGAAGAGAACAAAAGAAAAAAGTAAAAATAAAAATTTTTTGACATGGAGTCTCACTCTGCTGCCCAGGCTGGAGTGTAGTGGCGCCATCTAGGCTCACTCCAATCTCTGCTTCCAGGGTCCAAGCGATTATCCTGCCTCAGCTTCCCGGTGGCCACAAATATGTGCACGTGCCAAAAATGTATATTTAGTATAACATAAAACATGAACAAACATTAGGATGACCCAAACATAACTATAGATAAGAAACAAAAATGGTTCCATATTTTTGTCAGTTTCCGCCAGGCATGGTGGCTGATGCCTGTAGTCCCAGCCCTTTGGGAAGCTGAGGCAGGTGGATCACCTGAGGTCAGGACTTCGAAAAGTTTGAGACTAGCCTGGCCAACATAGTGAAACCCTGTCTCTACTAAAAATACAAAAATTTGCCAGGTGTGGTGGCAGGTGCCTGTAATCCCAGATACTTGGGAGGCTGAGGCAAGAGAATCGCTTGAGCTGAGACCGTGCCATTGCACTCCAGCCTGGGCAACAAGAATGAAACTCCATCTAAAAAAAAAAAAAAGGAGTCAATTTCCTAAGATGGACTTCGGATTCCTTTTCTATAAAATAGAATGGTCTCCATGATCTCTAAAGTACACTCTATCTAGGTTGGGTGCAGTGGCTCATGCCTATAATCCCGAATTTTGGGAGGCTGAGATAGGAGGATCACTTGAGCCCAGGAGTTCAAACCCAGCCTAGGCAACATAGGGATACTCCGTCTCTAATTTAAAAATAAACAAAAATAAAGTATCTTCCAGTCTTATGATTTTATGACAAATGATACAAGACAAAGTAAAAAATGAATGAAGCAAAACATATTCTTTAGGTTCTGAAGCGTTAAAACACTTAGTCAAGGCAACAACCTTACTAGTTTTGAGTTTTTGTTTTTAAATTTTTAACTTTAGCATACCCTGAAATGAGTTTCTAGTTCTTACGTTTAAATATGCATGCATAGTTTTCAGTGATGCGAGTTCAACAATAAAATATAATATAATACACGTGCATAGAAGCTAAATTTCAAAATGTAGCTTATATTATCATCACGGACCAAGATCAAAGTGTAATTACTGTATTTATTCCACGGTGGTGGACTCAAACTCTCCCAGAACGCATATAAGGGGAAAGAAAGTAGACAAGAATCAGCAGCATGTCTCATACTCCAGCAATCAGGCTTCTATGCCAAAGGGGGAAAAAAACACGAAGCATTCCTATGCTTGTAAAACCCAGTATTCCCGATTCTGTGGATCCAATTTTCAAGAGAGTGATATTTTTATCACAAGCCCTATCAAAACTCAGGCTATCTTCCGGAGATCAGGAAACAACTACACACGTCGATCTAATTTAAACGTGGAAGAATTAGAATGTGGCACAGCAGTCCCTAAAAATGACAGAACAGGCGGTGAAGGTGACACACTAAACGCTAACCGAGAAACGCCTGATTAAGAAGTATAATCGTGTGTCCCATAGAGAAGCATATTGTGTCCTCGGACCTCGAGCGGCGCGCCCGGAGGCTCAATGTCACCTTCGCCTAGGCGCTGCAGGCCGGCGGCGGCCACTCCCGGTCAGGTGGCCGTAGGGTCGGCGCCGGGGCAGGGTCACGGCCCGGGAACCGTAGGGGAGCGCTGCGTCCCCTCTTCGGCGCTCACAGCAGGTCCACATCTGACCTGTCCACAGTGACAGAGCCAGGAAGTTGCGCGGAGGGAGGCCTGGGGGGCGCGCTCTCAGGTCCTCCACTACTCGAGACGGCGGCCAGGGCTGCCCGCGGTCACAGGGTTCGGTAACCAGGGTAGGGCAAGGGATAGGCCGGGGGGAGCCCGCCCTCGAGTGGCGGCGGGGGCCCAGGTCACCGCAAGGACACGAGGGCGCGGGCAGTCGCAAGCAGGGGCCTTACCCGCGGCGGGGCCGGGGGTCGGGGCGGAGTGCAGGAGGCCTCGAGGGCCGGCCCGGGCGGTTGCGGCCACAGCGCAGCGGCGGAGAGCGGCGCCCAGCATGACGGCGATGGCGACCCGCGAGCAGAGGATGGAGACAGAAACCGGTGTGAGCTCGCGGGTGGCTCGCGAGCGGCGGGGGCCGGACTCACGCACAGGCGCACGGCGGGCGGAGCACGTAGGCCCGCCCACTGCGACTCTGGCGCCTGGGCGGGAGGGGCCACAGCGCGGCCGCGGGCGGGTTACGGCGGCGCGCTGAGGACAAAGTTCATTAGCCCCGCGTCCCGCCTTGTCTCTGGTCAGGTGACCTGCAACCGCCATCCTGGAAGTAGGAATGGAGGCGAGGGAGGAGCAACCGACAGTGCTTATGTTCGATTCAGGCCCAGGAGGGCACTTAATCACCTCTAAATAGGAATGATAGCAATAACAACAGACTGTAATAAAAATAGCTACTTTGCAGCCGGGCGCTGGGGCTCACGCCTTTGATCCCGGCACTTTGGGAGGTCGAGGCGGGCAGATCACCTGAGGTCGGGAGTTCGAAACCAGCCTGACCAACAAGGAGAAACCCCGTCTGTACTAAAAATACAAAATTAGCTGGGCGTGGTGGTGCACGCCTGTAATCCCAGCTCAGGAGGCTGAGGCAGGAGAATAGCTTTAACCCGGGAGGCGGAGGTGTGGTGAGCCGATATCGCGCCATTGCACTCCAGCCTGGGCAACAAGAGAGAAACTCCATCTCAAAAAACAAAACAAAAGAACCCTACTTTGCTTACCCCTCTTTCCTGTTGTAGCATAAAATAAAAGAACGAATGGGGGGAAAATGCCTATATATAAGGGACTCTGTTAGTAACTATTCTTAAATCACAAACCAGCTTGCATAAAAAATGAGTTCAACTACTTCATTTCACAGATTAGGAAAGAGGCTCAGAAATCGGGCTGCTCACTGGCAGTCAAGGATATTTTCGCCACATCCCCAGTTACGAGGACTCTCACCTGGATGTTTCTGCCCCATCTCCTACAGGAAGTCTCCTGAATCTACGACCCATGGCTCTGAAATAGGGTGGATCAAGTTCCAAGGCTGCTGCATCTAATCTCAGTAGCTACATCCTAACTTTGAGCCCCTGGGCCGTCCAGGGCACTTCCCCCAGGCCTGAAGTATCTGGATGCCGCCCAGAGATAACGAGACTGTCTTTTTGTCTTCCATTCTCTTTCCCTGGGCACACTGGAAAGAAAAGATGGCCATTCAGATGCCACTTCCTCACTTCAGGCTGACTCTGAGGGACCTTGGCATCTGCTCTTCTCTTTTTCCTCGCTAACAGTGTGGCTTTACTGTATATGAATCTGGCTGAGAAAAGGATTTTTAAAATGTTTTCAAAGTACCTGCCCTCAGCTGCTCGCACCAACCTAGTTTTGGGGCTGGGAAAACAAGGTGAAAGGCTGCGAAGCAGTTTCTCTCTGACCTTCCGCCCTCTTGTCTCTTGCCCCTTATTGTCCCTCCAGGCATACGACAGAAACTAGAATCCCTCCTCCCCAAGAGAGGGTCGTAGAAAGTAGAGCCCCTTTATCCCAAAGCCAGCCATAAAGCCTAAAAATATTACTGTAGGCTGGGTGTGGTGGCTCATGCCTGTAATCCCAGCACTTTGGGAGGGCGAAGCAGGTGGATAACCTGAGGTCAGGAGTTTGAGACCAGCCTGGCCAACATGGTAAAAACCTGTCTCTACTAAAAATACAAAAAATTAGCCAGGCATTGTGGTGGGCACCGTAATGCCAGCTACTCAGGAGGCTGAGGCAGAAGAATCGCTTGAACCCGAGAGATGAAGGTTGCGGTGAGCGGAGATCACGCCATTGCCCACCAGCCAGGGCAACAAGAATGAAACTCAATCTAAAAAAAACAATCTA